TATAACGGAAAAAAAAAAATAGAAATTTGTTCCTCCAAAAAGTTTGGACACAATTTTCATTTTTTCTTTGAAATGGTCACGCTTCAATTAACATTGTATTTATTTATCAGTTAAGGCATTTAAATGCATCATATTTTGCTTAGGTAACATAATTATATATCAAATACGTCATAAACATGTTTTGAAAAGTAAAATATTAATTTCATTTGTTGGTGCGTTAGCAATTTTGTCTAGTGTATAGGGGAAAGAAATTGAAACAAACATTATTTGAATTCCGTCAGAATCAATTTTGTTGTTGATATTATTATTATTCTCATATTTTAAGCAATATTTAAAAAAATCAAACGTCGGATTATTAACCAATTTGTACCTTGAACTGGGCATAAAATAGTATATATGGTGAAAAAGGTCTTAAATCAATAAAAAAAAAAGCCCTCTAGCGAAACTTATTTTGTTTTAGGTCTGTAATAGGAAGTCAAAAAATGTCACGGGCCAGCAGAATTCGATCCCTCGATCTCTACCTAAATGAGATACAGGGTGACTAGCAGAGAACCTGGCTGACCGCCACATCAGTCCAACCTTAAGGGTTTTCGACCCCTAAGACACCAACCTTGGCTCTTCCCTTGGATGTCGTTCACTTGTCACTTCCAGGGCATGGCAAGGCACCAAATATTACAGGAAGAAACTGTGACGAAACAGATCAGAATTCGAACCCTGGATCCCTTAACTCTCACCAACTCTGCTATCTACACCAGCAAAGGAACCTGTTTGACCACACTGTATACCACAGTACAATAACCACTCCGTAATATTAATTGTGAAGATAACAAACAGTAATAATGCTAAACATGGACCCCTGAAAACATCAGATGGGATCAGATGCCATAGAGGAGAAAAAAATCCCTGTTAATGGTTACATCCGCTGTTTGCACTTTGTCGGTAAACGGAGTAACCCATAGACAGCTCACTAAAAAAATGCCGTAACAATTCGCAATAAAAACTTCAATCAATATTCTACCTAACGACAGAATGTATCTGTAAATTCTGTAGTCATTTTGTGACCATAGAATTTGCAGAATGTTGACTTTAAACGAGATTGACGATACCCTTGTATCATCAAGTTATTTGTCAGTAGCTTGCCTCAGATAAGATATTGATCCTGCCTTAACTTGGAACATGCTCTCACTTATCGAATTAACTGGAAGTTATAAACACCATATCTTTAGGTGATTATCATTATCAAAACCATAATGGTATATTGCTACATAACTAAGGGGATTTAAGTTGACATTAAAATATTTGCTCATCACATTTATCATAGTTTAGTAGACAGTTTGCTTTCAGTCCAAACACCCAAATATGAAACAGATAATGGGATATATGATATCAACGTAGAATGAAAATGAATATTGTTATAATTGGTAAAATGTAGTTGAAATATTTGTATGTCGAATTGAAGACCATAGCAAGAGACTTCTTCTTTTCACATATGTTTTTGAATAAAGTCTGCATCATTAGAATACAGAAACAGCTCTGCTATAACGGGGACAATTCGTACCGTGGAAAATTTCGTACCGAGGGGAATTCCAACATATTGTTGGAAGACCTGGTCATTAAAGACTGTATAGATATTGCCAGTAAGGCGCTCCGGCATCTCTTTAATATCAACCTCAGAGTACTTATGTGTAGAATAAGAATTTTTTTTTTGTTACAAAGGAAGTTTGAAGATGACCAAATATAAGGAATCGAAATTTGCAAGTTTATTTTTTTCTGAAGAAGCAGTTGTCTATGATATCAAAAAGTCTGGCCTTTAATTCGTCATGGGGAATGGTTTTATAGTGTTTAAGTAATGTGTTTTGATGCTACTGATTTTGGAAAAATGTTGATTTTAAAGTTTTCTAAAAGTGTGTTCAGAGCTTTTTAGTATCCACAATTGATTAAAAACTACTTCTCGAATATGCTGTTGCACAGTTCTGTAGAAGTTTGCATTTCAGATGTTTTGTAAACTCTAACTTATATATAATGTGATTGTAAAAAGTGTAATAAACTTGAGTACAAAAGGATTCCTGGAATTTTACTTTACGCTACCGAAGGAGGATAAACATAATTATCATATGTGATACTGATGATTTATGTTAAGAGGATTTTTAAGCAGAAATATTGCATATTCCATCGCACTACATGAGTCTTACCAAGACGACATGTACTGAGTATGTTTTCCCACGATTTGTCAGCTAGAAAGAGTGGATAGAGATCATGAAATCTATCTTATTCTTAAGGCACTTCTGAATTCCTGAATACAGAAGGATAGATGGTTCGAGGTTTCAATGTCCACCAAATACTTTCCATCCATTCGGACAAAGTGTCAATTAATAGTTTGATCCATCTATCTGGCATAATATTTAAAAGAATTCATAATACTATTTATTAAATTTTAAGGCTAATTGAAAGAAGATTGTGGCTCCCTAATTTTTGGACCTTTTAAATGAGTAATTTAAGGTCCTCATTGTTAACTAGTGGAAGGATTTTGTTTTTTCGATTATGCTAGAGGCCTACAGCAACGGTGATCTAAAAACTGAATTACGGAACTGAGACAGCCAGTAATCCGAACCGTGGAAGAAGGAAGTCAACAAATTGTTTAGTCAGGTGGATTGCCTCATACTGGAGGCTTGCCACAGGTGAAATGCCTAATATTGGAGGCATGCCACATTTGATTATTTGGACCCGTTCATTTAATTGTTGTTTGGTCATGTGCATTGCACTAGAGGCTTGACACATTTGATTTTTTTGGATCACTCTTTTTGAGGCTGGTCCAATTATAGTGACTAGCATTTTACAGGTTGACCTCCTAGAGTCATTCTTTATCGATTAGTGAAGGTGAAAGCAGTTCACTGTCCGTCCTGAATAAAGTATTACCACAGTAACTTGTGATTCTGGAGTTCGACCACCTTAATTAGGCTTGGACTTCCCTCTAGGATTGATATTTCTTTTTAAATAAGATAGGTGCTTCTATCTAGAGGACTGGTATAAATCCATACATAAGTAAGTAAAGCCAACCTAGTGTGCTTTCCCCCTGTAAGTAAGGGAAGGGTCATACGTGTAATTGTATATAGATGCAGACCAAAAGTTACTAGCAACATAGCTAGTATATAGTCAAATCATTTTAGAGAAGAAAACTACATTAATAATTTCGTTCAATCATTTAACAGAGGAAAATTATTTAAATTAATCCCAACCCCAGATCCTGGAATTAATCTTGAGCACGTTACACTAGGGAAAGGGGAACAGAACACGATTACGTTGGAGAATTTTGTTTCAGATGGTCGTTCTCAAGGCATGAATTTTTTTTCCCTAAAATTTCGGAAGCAATAGTCTAAAATACGTACAGAGTATGGACTTTAACATGAAATATTGTGGAATGCAAGACTGGGCAAAGGAAAATCCGAGGGCGCCACTGAACTCTCTTGAGTCAGGGTTAGTCCTTCATAGACGTATTTTTATATTGGGTGGCAGCCAGCATAATTATGATATAGTCGTTTTTCTCTGTACTGCTTATGATTAAGGACCAATCAAGAAGTATCCTCGGGAACAGACACTATCCACCAGCAGAGATACATGTGAAGAAAGCAATTTTTTCAAGATATGGGTGCCATATAAAAAAAAAAACACGGCAAAAAAACTGTTCCACATTGCCTTACAATAACTGCTTTGTAAAATAAAATATGGCAGCACATTAGTGGAAAATTACTGCAAGCTGGTGTCTCACATTTAGATGGAAACTTGTAATCTACAAAGGTTTTGAACTTGTTATGCCCCCGTAATCAAAGATTCGGGGTATATAGTTTTTGCCCTGTCCATCCGTCTGTTTGTTCGCAAAAACTTTAACATTGCCCATAACATCAATTTTGATTGGTTGGAGCTACAACTTTCATATTTCACATGTGTATTTCTTGTGACAAGACCTTTCTTTGGATACCATCATATTTGACCTTGGACTCGGAGTTTGACCCAGTTTTGCTAAACTTAAACCAACTTTAACCTTGGCCATAGTTTTTGAACAGTTGTTGCTAGGGCTTTCATACTGCACATATTTAATCCTTGTGACAAGACCTTCATTTGGATACTACCAACTTCGACCTGAAGTTTGACCTACTTTTGAAAAACTTTAACCTTGGCCATAACTTTTGAACGGTTGGTGCAAGGGCTTTCATACTTCACATAAGTAATCCTTGTGACAAGACCTTCCTTTGGATACCAACAACTTTGACCCTTTGATCTTGACCTTGGAGTAAGACCTACTTTTGAAAAACTTTAACCTTGGTCATATTACTTTAGAACAGTTGGTGCTACGGTTTTCATATTTAACATGTCCATTCCTTAAGACAAGACCTTTCTTTGGATACCAACAATTGTTATCCATTGACCTTGACGTTTGACCTACTTTTGTAAAACTTTAACCTTAGCCACAACTTTTGAACGATTGGTGCTACGGCTTTCGTATTTCACAAGCGTATTTCTTGTGAGAAAGCTTTTTTTCTTGGGCACCATTACTTTTCACTCTTTGGGGGTCAATGTATTGACCTTGATGTTTAACTTACTTTTGAAAAACTTTAACCTTTTCCATATCTATTCAATGGTTGCTGCTAGGGCTTTCATATTTCACAGATATATTTCTCCAGAGGAGACCTTACTTTGGGTACCAACATATTTGATTTGCATTTGAGAGAGTTTAACCTTTACTATAAGTTGCCATACGGGCATCAGTGTTTTTTTTTTTTGTTTTTGTTTTTTTTTTGAAGATTATTTTTTTGGCTGGAAAAAAAAGAGCAATAATATTTCCATAACCAAAACTGCTGTTGGTAGCACTTTTTAAAGACAAAGCAAACATGGTCAGTATTCCCATGATCATCCTTCTATTGTTCCTACAAATAATTCTTTATAATAAACCCTCTTGCATGAATAGCAAATCAATGGAAAGTTCCAAATTAAAAAGAAACTACTTGTTAAGAAATACCATTTATTCAATACTTAACAAGTATACTTCTGATACATCTCCGTGCCCCGGAGGATGCATGAGGCTGTTACTTAACAAGTACACAACATATTTAATTCAATATAAATTTTTGCTACCTAAGATTTGCTTAAAGGACTAGATCTTCTGTACTAAGAAAGCTAGTCCAAGGATCTCAAGACAAATAATATAATATCCAAACTAGCAAGTATTTAAAACGCTGGTATATTTACTGTTATAAATACACACAACTTCCACCAGTGTAACTACATATACTTTGGCTATTAATCCACACTAAAATGGAAGGTGGACATACAAACTTTGTACAACAAGTAGATTAAGATTCTGGTAAAGGAGAAGACTTCCATAGGCTGTCCAGTTCTATTTCTTTTCGATTACAACACTGACTTAATTATGTAGCCTCAGACTCCTGTTCTGGGATTGGATATTTAGACCTGAGTTCCTGGAGCAGTGACTGGGCCTCTGGACAGATCAGGTGTGCATCAGTTGCCAATGTATCTTGGATAGGATGTAGAAGGTGTTTGATCTCTTCTAGTCTCTCAATTGTCTGAAACCATGAAAGAAATGTAAGAGGAAATCTTTAAAATCCCCATATATACAAATCAAAACAGAAACAGGTCTGTTTAATTCCAGCTACGTCACCATAATATAGTCAGGTTTAGGTTTTGAATTACTAGACAGAAATAGACAAGAGAATTTAAAATGTCACAGAAAATAAGATTTAAGACAGACTTTTGAATTTGCTCTATATAATGACCCAGATTCTGTGTTGGAAGAACTTCGAGATAAAATATACAGTTTAACTTAGGTATCTCAAACACCATTATATCTATTACCATTGATATGTCAAAGTGATTTGGAAGTCCCAACCACTTTTTCTTTGTGTAAATTTAACCTATATATATTGAATCCTTGGATATCTAGATTTTTTTTTTCGGGGGGTGGGGTGGGGGGGGGGTGGGGGGAGTCCAATGAGTTGGAGATAAAGAGGTTTGACTGAATTTCATTTAGAAAGACAAGTTAGGGCCCTCTCAAAAAGGTTCTTTGTAAACAAACAGTATATACTGTATCACTATTCATTGAAACACAATGAAACCTCACAGTAGAAGAAAACAAAAGAAAACATTGACATGCACTTTTTTTGGAAAAAAAAACCCCCAGAAAGTTGTTTTTACCTGCTCTTTGTAAGCTAGGTAGAAATTCCCAGACTGAGGATCGTCCTCGAGACATGGAGATAAGCGTAGTTCTATGTAGTTCCTCAGACTGGGTGTTACCATGAAGATTTTGGCTGACAGGACCTGCATTAGTTTCCTCCAGTAAATCATAACCATTCGACCAAAGACTGCTTCATCAACTGTCACCTTTATAACATTCACAGATTATAAACATGTTATCTGACACTGAAACACTGCAACACAGATAACAAAATTATTATTATCCATATCTATTTGTGCTTTAATACAAATTCTACAACTGTACATGTGATATCTACCTCATCAGCCCAATCAATTCCTATAATTTAATTGTATCTTCACTATATATATTATAAAGGGACCACTATACTGTATGTTGCCCCAAAGTTCATGTTAATTTTTTAATATTTACAACAACAAAAAATGTTTATACTTCTATAAATACATGTAGTTACATTTTTTATAAGTATGATTGGTTGGCAAATTAGGTCCCAGAATCATGAAGCAGTTTTAAGTCAAAATTTCAGTCATTCATAAAATGAATATTTATTTTAAACTGACACATAACAACATGATACAGAAAATTTTTAATGATAACATTTCAAATTTTATCAATTATATATCTTTAAGACAATGCACAAATTAAATTTTGACTTATCTAAAACTTTTTAATGATCATGGGGCTAGAAAATATAGTGATACCATGTATATATATGTTTATGCATGTGATAATGGGCACCTTTTAACATGAAACACTCTTAAAATCAACATCTAACTATGTCTTTATAACATTTCTCTCCTCAAAATACAAATTCTTGCCTGCCATTCACATTTTTAATGGATTAAAAAAAGCTCATTCAAGGGTTCAGAATATTATCAATTATTTTAAAGTGAGTCATCAGATGCTGTAACTACTTTGAACAATGAACATGTATGACTACCTAAAACCAATTTCCTGAGTGTTTCAATCCCCCATTAAAAATATCGGTAAAAGATCTTGTACAATTTGAAGCCAATACCTTAAAATCCTCTATGACTGTAAATCCAGCAAATTTAGAAGGCAATGTCATTTCAGAATTTTCTTTCCTCTGAAATTCCTCCTCCCACATTTCCTCTTTTTCCTCAGCTTTTTCCTCTTTTGTTTCCTCTTCATTCACTTTCATCTTTTCCTTCTCCAGCAGATTTATTTTTGCTGTCCTCTCTTTTTCTCTCATTTCTTTCACTAACTTTTCCTGCTTCTTTCTATCTTTTTCCTTCTTCTTTCTCTCTTTGGCTGGAGTGGGTGGTTTTTCTGTCTTGGTCACTGAAGACATATATTTGTCATATTTATCTTTGTATTGAATCATCTCTATAAACAATTGAGTCAGATCCTGTAGGGTGCTAGTTAAAGCTAACATGTACTCCATCTGGGCACCCATACTGTGCAACACATACCATGCTTCCACGATGTGCTTATGTTCCTGTTTAAAAAAATGTAAAATGTATCTTATAATTTTGAATTTGATTGAATGTTAAAAAAAAGCCCTTTTCTAGGACAGTACTTCAATCTTTCTTCTGTATAGAAATTTGTTTATATCCTGGTAAAGTACCTGAGACAAATATTCAAACTGATCCACCTCCGATTCCGTTTCCAGCTGATTCTCATTATCATCATCTCTCATCTGTATAGAATCAAATGATTTTTGAGACTGGTTTAGTGCATGACTGATTTTACATTGCACTCTTAAGGTCAAAAACTAGTAAATGAGTTTATTTTCTTGGTGCTACCTTAAAATGAGTTTATTTTCTTGGTGCCACTAATAAATGAGTTTTTTTTCTTGGTGCCACTAGTAAATGAGTTTATTTTCTTGGTGCTGGATCCATTATGACCTCATAATTCATTCCTGATTACTTTTTATCGTGCTTTACAGCTTTCATAAAATTATGTAGAAAATAAAGCATTTTCTTACTGAATTTGAAATCATGTGAAAAGTAATCTGGATACCAATATTTTATGTAAATGTTATATTTATAAGTCAGAAACACAAATTTCATTTTCTGAGAGATTGTAGGCAATCTGGACACAGTTCATTTGTGTTGCATGGAAAAAAATCCCAAGTTTTCTTCATTTTTCATTGAAAATGACATTTAAAACACATTAATTTGATGTGTTTACACAAATGAATGCCCTGATACCTTTAATATTTAACAAAGATATGGTATTTAAGCATCATTAAGGTGGTATGGGATACCAAACGAAACTTCTCCTACATATTTATGTACCCAAATTAGAAGGATTTGAAATACCCCCACCTTTCAGTATATTAAAGTGCAATTTTAATAATTTTTTTTATTATTTTAATGAGAAATACAAAAACGATTTTTTTCTTGCATAATTCTTTTTTCATAAGCTTAATATTATAGGCAGGCGTTTGCTAATATAAAGTGTTTATAAAAACAAAAATGACAAGAAATATGTCTTAGTATTTTTTTAATTTTCAACAAAAATTAAGCGTAAAAAACTGGGAAAACTTTATTTCTTGAAAACAGACGGATAACATTTCATGAAAGTCTACAATAAGAATGTATCTTAATATGTTAGCAAAGTGAAATAAATAACAAGAGGCCCATGGGCCTTGAATCGCTCTTCTGATAAACTGTACAACCTATCACTTCTATTTGAAGCCTCAAAGTATCCTTTATATTTACATAAACCCTTGAAATTCCAATTCACACTCTGAGAACCCAAGATGATTCTAAGCCAATTAGTACCTGAGAGTTGGTCATGGTGACCTACTTATCACTTGTCATTCTCTGAGGACCCATCAACTAAGTTTGATGATTCTAAGCCAGTTAATACCTAAAATATTTTTTAAAATTATAATCATAAAATTTTATAAGTAGGTCAAAGTGACCTACTTTTCAATTGTTTTACTCCAAGGACCCAAGATGCATCAACTGACAAAGTTTGATGATTCTAAGCCAATTAGTACCTGTAATATTTAATTAAAGCCATAAATTTTCAAAAGTAGGTCACCGTGACCTACTTTCCAGTTGCTGTACTCCGAGGACCAAAGATACATCGACTGACAAAGTTTGATGATTCTAGCCAATAAGTACCCAATATATTTAATTACAGCCATAAATTTTCAAAAGTAGGTCACAGTGACCTACTTTTCAGTCAACCTACTCCGAAGACCCAAGATGCATCAACTGACAAATTTTGACGATTCTAAGCCAAATAATTCCTGAAAATATTAAATACAGCCATAAAATTTCAAAAGTAGGTCACCGTGACCTACTTTTCAGTTGTTGTACTCCGAGGACCCAAGACGCATCAACTGACAAAGTTTAATGATTCTAAGCCAATTAGTACCCGAAATATTTGATTAAAGCCATAAATTTTCAAAAGTAGGTCACGGTGACCTACTTTTCAGTTGTTGTACTCCGAGGACCCATGACACCTAAACTGACAAAGTTTTATAATTCTAAGCCAATTAGTACCCGAAATATTTTATTAAAGCCATAAATTTTCCGAAAGTAGGTCACGGTGACCTACTTTTTAGTCTACCTACTCCGAAGACCCATGACGCATCAACTGACAAAGTTTGATGATTCTAAGCCAATTAGTACCGGAAATATTTAATTAAAGCCATAAATTTTCAAAAGTAGGTCACGGTGACCTACTTTTTAGTCGATCTACTCTGAAGACCCAAGATGCATCAACTGACAAAGTTTGATGATTCTAAGCCAATTAGTACCTGAAATATTTAATTATCGCCATAAAATTCCAAAAGTAGGTCACTGTGACCTACTTTTTAGTCGACCTACTCCGAAGACCCAAGATGCATCAACTGACAAAGTTTGATGATTCTAAGCCAATTAGTACCTGAAATATTTAATTATAGTCATATAAATTGAAAAGTAGGTCACGGTGACCTACTTTTCAGTTGACCTTTTTTGAGGACCCAAGATGCATCAACTTACAAAGTTTTATGATCATAGGACTTAAAATGTCCAAATTATGCCTCTAAAATGCTTTGAAATCGAATGCCTGCAAAGTTCAAAAAGTAGGTCACTGTGACCTACTTTTTAATAAATATGTTTTATGGCCCCAAGATGCATCATCTTACAAGATTTAATGATTCTAAGCCTTCCCGTATTCGAATTAATGACCTTAATTGTTTTAAAAAAGATTAGCCATAAAATTCAAAAAGTAGGTCAAGGTGACCTACTTTTTAGTTGACGTACTTTGAGGACCCAAGATGCATCAACTGACAAAGTTTGATGATCATAGGCCTTAAATTGTTCAAAATATGCCTCTAAATCATTTTGAAAAAGAATGGCCGCAAAATTTAAAAAGTAGGTCACCGTGACCTACTTTTGAGTCAACATGATATGAGGTCCTTAGATGCACCAACTGACAAGATTTGATGATCCTAGTCCTTATAGTAAGCAAAATATCAACATTTTAATAAAATGTAATTTTTGGTCAACTTTGAAGTGACCTTGAGACCACGCCCTTTGCCCCAGGGTAAATCCCCGTGCAAATTTTAATCTACAACATATCCTCATCCTTTTGTGTAAGTTTGGTGATAATCTGCCCAGTGGTTCTTGAGAAGAAGATTTTTTAGCAACCAGTACTTTTGTTTCTATTTTCCTAATTATCTCCCCTTGTTAAAGGGTCACAACCCCAGTTTTAGTATAAAAGGGAGCCCTTGGGCCAAGGATACCCTGTGACAAATTTGACAATAATTGGCCAAGGGGTTCTTGAGTTATGGCCCATATTCTAAAAAGTTTACGCACACCGCACACCGCACAAATGGCCATAGCATTAGCTCTTTGAGCCTTTGGCTCAGAAGAGCTAAAAATTGAAAATATATATATAAATGGAAAATATAAAATGCATTTAAAATTTTTTGAATTAAAAGATCCGAGCGGAAGAGTTATCCTTCTTTATTTTCCAAGGGTTGAAAAAACCTGGGTGCTATTTTAGAAATGATGAGCATTTTTTCCCAACCATAAAAAAATCGTACTCTATAGTTTTCAACTTTGAGCGGTTTTGAAAACAATGCATGGACAATCGCTTTCCAGGACGTGTCTTGTTCAGAGCAATTGCATTCATCTGAACGTTTTGGGACTATATACAACAGCTAGCTGATTTGTGACCAAACAGTTACTTCTTGAATTAAATAACAAAAAAGTCCAGCTCTGGTTAACGTGATAATTGATTGGTGATAATTCAGCACAATGTGAAGTAATCGCACTTATCCATGCCTCACCGCACACAAGGTGCTGTACAGTTACTCAAACAATTGAAATACAGCTTTTGCTTAAAAGTGTTCAAAAGCAGCAATGTTGAAACTACCTTTTACAGGGGTTTGCTTTTTTAAATGTCCGTTGTACAATTATAAGTAAATTTATATACTTGCGATTTTTTTGTCTGTTTTTACTTAAAATGCCGACTTGTGAGAACTTGCATTGAAATAGGCTTCAGAGTGTTCTTTTCAACGGTGTATCTACAAATTTTGACCCGATAATAAGCACTCATGCAAATCAAAACAATACTTCAAACGGAAATACGTCATGACGTGGAGGTATCCCATACTACCTTAAGGAATTTAATCCTCAAATTTGAGAAACCTGAAGATTCCTTTTGTTTACTAGATCCTGACCTTAATTTTAACTAAACTTCATTTCTGAAGACAAGAATTCTTAAGATTCTTACTTTTTACCCCATAAACAACTTTGTGATTTCCCTACCATTCGTAGCAGGCTTTTGAGAAGGATCCCTCTATGGACCTCTAACCATTCATTCTGCTGGGCACCCATCACAATGAGCTGATCCGCACAGTCTTCCCCCGTTATCACGTTCTGTTCTTCATCACTGTCTAGGTACACTGTCTGTCCATTATCACGGTGAAACTGGGCCTGCAATATTCAACTTCAAAACTGACAAGTCATCAATGATCATATTAAACATTCTTGTCCAATGTTGTTAAAAGTATTTCAACTTTATGCACTGACTGTTAAGACAGTTCATATTCTGGATTTAAATGAGCATCTTGTTTTTAAGGAAGCAAAAACCGGATACTTTAAAAAAATTTCAATGAAATTCTCTATTCAATTTCCATAAAAAGAAAATATTGCATTTCCACATAGAAAACTCACTTTTTCCTTTGAGAAGAATACACTCTGATAGATGGTCACTCCACTCTCAGGATAAAACAGTTCTGGTCTGAAGGGAGAAAATAATTGCTTACTCATGCTCTACTCAGTAATGTCATGAAGGAGTAAAGAATGTAGAAATTCTATTTACTGGCATAAATCTCACTGTACAATAAATAGCAAAGATGATTGATTGATTGATTGATTGGATGTTTTTTACGTCCCATTCGAGAATTTTTCACTCATATAGAGACGTCACCGAATACCGGTGAAGGGCTTCAAATTTAGACCTTTACTCGGCACTCAGGGCCATTGAGCAGTGAGGGTTTTTTATCGTGCCATGACACGGGTTCTAGGTTTTTAAGGTCTCACCCAAAGGACCCGCAACTTTCACTTCAATGTGCTGAGGGCTTGGCAAAGGAACAGTTGCTACCTATTTCTTATCAATTTGGGTCAGTCATGACCGGGGCTCAAACCCACAACCTTCCGATCACGTAGCGAGTGCTCTACCGAATGAGCTACCATGACGGTTCATAGCAAAGAAGTAGTTTACGTGTAAAAATCATCTTACTTGATAAACTTGTCTGTGAGGTAATGCAGTAAGAAGTACTTCTCGACTGTTACATATCTCCACTCCATCAGCACCAAAGCCTATCAAAGTCAGTATTAGTTACATACACTAAACACATACCAATGAAAATGACTTTATTAAAACATAATCTCTGTGGACATTCTTTACAGTATTCATGTGAAGTACATGCTTACAAATTTGTATATTTAGTCTTAAAGGTTTTCTTCTTATTTACATTCAATAGCTGTTTTCTGTACAAATTACACAGTATTTTTTTTTAAATTAAACTCTATATGCACATACAAATAATTTAGATAATACAAATGCTTATACATATATATTGTGTTGAATATCAAATATTGAAGAGTTACATTTCCTAGCATGGGGATACAGTTTGGGAAGGTGTATGTTACCTTCATATAAATTGGTTCTTTCCTTTGGACATAGTGATAAACTGTAGAGGAGAATGCTGAAAAGCCATCCTTCTCATGTCTGTTTAGAATGTTCTCCCAGGACCAGCGTTCTGAGGGAAAGTAAACCCCCAGCACCGGGATCTCATTCTTCTTTATCAACTCAAGTATGTACGACTCCACTGAAAACAGGACAAATACAGCAAAATGAACTTTCTCTTTAAAAGTTAAAGAATTTAATGTAATCTTGTCCTCAGATGATTTGAAAATATAATATACCCAGATTAGCAAATATTTGAATGGCATCCTCTCTCTGGTCTGCAGGTCCCTTTAAGTAGTAATGGTCATGAAGATCTATTTTCTTTAAGTAAGGCTGGGGTTTGCCATACAAAATACTTGGACCACTCATAGCTGTGCCAACATGTACCTAAAATAATGCATACCGAGTAGGTAATCTAATCTAAATGCATCTACTTCAAATAGACTTCATACTGCCACTTTAGGGCCCTGTTTCAAATCATTTTTTACATTTATAAAACTGCACTGGAAGGTGAGGAGGGGGAGGGTAAGTTTGAATTTAAACACTACAATTATTAGTATTAGAACAAGAGGCCCATGGGCCACAATGCTCACCTGAGTAACTTTGGCCCTGCTGTTCTTCACCAGACTTTCCCCCATGTAATACACCTATTGTGGTCCCATCCTATCCCAGGGGTCATGATTTTAACAATTTAGAATCTACACTACCCCAGGATACTTCTACATTAGTTTCAGCTTTTCTGGCCCAGTGGTTCTTGAGAAGAAGATTTTTTAAGATTTTTTCTATATATTTCTATGTAAAACTTGGATTCCCTATTGTGGCCCCGCCCTACCCCCGGGGGTCATGCTTTTAACAATTTATATTTACACTACCCCAGGATACTTCTACATTAGTTTCAGCTTTTCTGGCCCAATGGTTCTTGAGAAGAAGATTTTTAAAGATTGTTTCTATATATTTCAATGTAAAACTTGGATTCCCTATTGTGGCCCCGCCCTACCCCCGGGGGTCATGATTTTAACAATTTAGAATCTACACTACCCCAAGATGCTTCCACATTAGTTTCAGCTTTTCTGGCCCAGTGGTTCTTGAGAAGAAGATTTTTAAAGATTTTTACTATATATTTCAATGTAAAACTTGGGTTCCCCATTGTGGCCCCGCCCTACCCCCTGGGGTTATGATTTTAACAATTTAGAATCTACACTACCCCAAGATGCTTCCACATTAGTTTCAGCTTTTCTGGCCCAATGGTTCTTGAGAAGAAGATTTTTAAAGATTTTTTCTATATATTTCAATGTAAAACTTGGATTCCCTATTGTGGCCCCGCCCTACCCCCTGGGGTCATGATTTGAACAATTTAGAATCTACACTACCCCAGGATGCTTCCATATAAGTTTCAGCTTTACTGGCCCTGTGGTTCTTGAGAAGAAGATTTTTTAATGACCCCACCCTATTTTTGTCTTCTCTTGATTATCTCCCCTTGTGAGGGGATTTGGCCCTTCATTTTAACAATTTAAATTCCCCTTCGCCCAAGGATGCTTTGTACCAAGTTTGGTCAAAATTGGCCCAGTGGTTCTTGAGAAGAAGTCAAAAATGTGAAAAGTTTACAGACGGACGGACAGACAGACGGATGGACAGACGGATGGACGGACGACGGACAAAATGTGATCAGAAAAGCTCACTTGAGCCTTCGGCTCAGGTGAGCTAAAAATTCAGTAAGAGACTGAAAAAATCTTGCATCAAAGAAACAATTAAATACCATAAATTGCTTCCTTCTCTCTGCCTTTTTGTCCTGAATTAATGGTTGAATTGCTTCATAAGTTGGTGCAAACCCTCCCGAGTCTAACACATATACAGAGGTCAGCAATCCTATAGAAAATAAAATCAGAACAAACAATTACAGTTGAACTTCGGTATCAGGAACACAGATATCTCGAATACCATGGACATGTTGAAGTGATTTGGAAGTCCTAACCACTTATTTCTTAAGTATTTTACCCTTGATATCTCTAACCCTCGGACATCTCGAAGTTTTTTCTCGGTCCCATCGAGTTCAAGATAACGAGGTTTGACTGTAGTATTAAAAAGTTTTCATACACTCACAAAAAAAAAAAACAACAGTAACATATAACCCATATTCTTGCTACAATTTTTACTTAATTTTGCCCTTTGATTTATAACATGATCTCACCGTGGGCATCCACCCCATTCATGTAAATATCTAACATCCTGTTTTCTTGTCCATCTTTTTTCTCTTCAGAAATTGGATTTATTTGAAACAATGTCTTTAATATCTGTGACTTGGACTGATATACAAGATCCATTCTGGAAAAAAAATTTAGAACACTGACAGTCATACAGGGCACCAAAACATATGTTCTATCAATAGTTTAGACCTTAGACCTTGACCTTTGCTGGAATAACCAAAGAGGCCCAAGGGCCTTAACAGTTACTCAAGTATATTATCATTTTACTAACAGCATGACAGTTTGCTTGATGGGGCATGCTAAAATTTTGTAAGCTGATTCTCATATTGCTCACTGATTGGATGTTTGATTTCAATGGAATCAATACTTATTTGCATATGAAACTCAAAATACATCAATACCACTCTACAATACTGACCAATCATATTGAATGAAGAGTCAACCTTACTCATCATAACTATGTACTTAATTGTCTACTTTATACCCAGGAACAGAGAAAATTTTCAAAGAATTTATGCATTTTCACTACATAATCAATAGAGCCCTGTCCTAAGATTAGAACCCCTGACCCTGGGGCCATGAATTTCACAATTATGGAAGAGGCACACTCACTCATCAGAACAAGGTACTTAGTTTGTCTGCTTAATATATATGGGGATGCATGAATTTCATAATTTTGAAAGGGGATCCTTACTCAACATAACCATTTCACTTAGTTTGTGTGCTTAATACCCAGAAGCAGAAAAGCTTAAAATCTTTTTAAAGAGTGTATGCATTTTCATTATATGATCAATAGAGCCCCACCCTAACACCAGAACCCCTTACCCTGGGGCCATGAATTTCAAAATTTTAGTAAAAGGCTCATTGCTTATTATAATCATGCCAACATTTTGACTGCTTCTAGTCAAGGAGTGAAGAGGAATATTTTTGAAGATTGTATTAATTTTGATGTTTTTGGCCCCATCCCTCAGGCTCCAGGGAGGCAGAGATCATGAAATTCACAATTTTGGATCCTCTTTGCCTTCAAATGCTATATACCAAAACTCTTTGAAATCTGTTCAAGGGTTCTAGAGAAGAAGCTGAAAATGTTCAAATTTTAATGGATTATGATTACAACGCACAACGACAGAAGAAAACAGATACACTGTAGCAACAGGATACCTGATTGATTCAGGTGATGAAGTCATTAAGCTACTTGGTATTCAAGTTATTTTGTTACATAAAATGGGTGAGGGAGGAATAGATTACTACAAAGGTCTGATGTAAGTGTTGTTATCACTCAAAACTATAAGTAATTCAATGTGCAAACTGTGAATCAATAAATGTGCTGCCATACCTGCAGATCTTAAGTCTACATTTTTACAATTATATATATGCCTGCTTAACTACACTACTCTGGCATTATGCATAAATGATGGTAGTGCAAAGCTACATGTAGCTTTAAAATATGTTTGATTGATTTACATAAATAGAAACAAGTACTATGTTCGTTGTATATCATATTCAGCAAATTCTGATAAAAATTATGCTTACCTCATAGCCTGTTGTCTGAATAGTGAGATCAGTGAGGGGTAAGGGTTTGGAGGGAGGGGTTCTTTATCTTTCAGGGCTGTCAGAAAACTGTGCCAGGTTTCATCTAGATGTGTGTCAATGGTATACTGAAAATACAGACTTATATGTAAATGTGTATCAACAGAATACTAACCAGAAGTCTCTGATGAGACTGTAGCTCTACTGGTCTGTTTGTATAACAAAAGAAAAGTAGCACTTGGATTTGAAACATTGCAACATGCAACAATAAATAGAATTATGTATCTTAATGTAGTCTACTTTTGTGACAAGTTATATTGAAATCAAATGAAAACTAGGAGTAGTAGCGTTTTGAAAGTATTTCATGGAAATTTCTATTTTTAGTACCGGTAACCATGACAACACCATTCACCCAAATAAAAAAAACAGAAATACATATTATGTATCGTAGTGTATTCTAACTGTGTGCCAAATTAGATTGAAATCAGACCAAAATTGTAGGAGGAGTAACGTTTTAAAGGAATTTCACAGAAATTTCTATTTTAAGTAACCATGGCAACACTGTTCATCGAATTCAAAAACCAATGCAATAAATTATGTATCTTAGTATAGTCTTCTTGTATGCCTAATTATATTAGAAGCAGACTAAAACTGTAGCAGGAGTAGTGTTTTAAAGGAATTTCACAGAAATTTCTATTTTTAGTAACCATGGCAACACCGTCCATTGAATTCAAAAACCGATGCAATAAATTATGCATCTTAGTGTAGTGTACTTGTGTGCCAAGTTATATTGAAATCGGACCAAAACTGTAAGAGGAGTAGCGTTTTAAAGGAATTTCACAGAAATTTCTATTTTTAGTAACCATGGCAACACCGTCCATCGAAATCAAAAACCGATGCACTAAATTATGTATCTTAGTGTAGTGTACTTGTGTGCCAAGTTATATTGAAATCGGACCAAAACTGTAGGAGGAGTAGCGTTTTAAAGGAATTTCACAGAAATTTCTATTTTTAGTAACCATGGCAACACCGTCCATCGAAATCAAAAACCGATGCACTTCATTATGTATCTTAGTGTAGTCTACTTGTGTGCCAAGTTATATTGAAATCGGACCAAAACTGTAGGAGGAGTAGCGTTTTAAAGGAATTTCACAGAAATTTCTATTTTTAGTAACCATGGCAACACCGTCCATCGAAATCAAAAACCGATGCAATAAATTATGCATCTTAGTGTAGTGTACTTGTGTGCCAAGTTATATTGAAATCGGACCAAAACTGTAGGAGGAGTAGCGTTTTAAAGGAATTTCACAGAAATTTCTATTTTTAGTAACCATGGCAACACCGTCCATCGAAATCAAAAACCGATGCACTAAATTATGTATCTTAGTGTAGTGTACTTGTGTGCCAAGTTATATTGAAATCGGACCAAAACTGTAGGAGGAGTAGCGTTTTAAAGGAATTTCACAGAAATTTCTATTTTTAGTAACCATGGCAACACCGTCCATCGAAATCAAAAACCGATGCACTAAATTATGTATCTTAGTGTAGTGTACTTGTGTGCCAAGTTATATTGAAATCGGACCAAAACTGTAGGAGGAGTAGCGTTTTAAAGGAATTTCACAGAAATTTCTATTTTTAGTAACCATGGCAACACCGTCCATTGAATTCAAAAACCGATGCACTAAATTATGTATCTTAGTGTAGTCTACTTGTGTGCCAAGTTATATTGAAATCGGACCAAAACTGTAGGAGGAGTAGCGTTTTGAAAAATTGTTTACAGACAGACGGACAGACAGACAGACAGACAGACAGACAGACAGACAGACGGACGGACGACGGACACCTTACTATCGCATAAGCTCTTCTGGTCTCTGACCAGTAGAGCTAAAAATACAGACTTATATGTAAATGTGTGTCAATGAATACTAGTACTGAAAATACAGACTTATATGTAAATGTGTATCAACAGAATACTGAAAATACAGACTTAAAACTTCAAACAATAGGGTAATTGTTTTTAATTAAATAGAGCCAAAATAATATACAATTTGTTATTCCTAGTGTACTGAAAGTGTATGTAGTTCTTATTGTGTATTCTACTGTGCCATATGTGACAAGGTTTCACGTGTGTTATAGGGGGTTGAATGTTGTAGATTCCAAAGGATTTCATAAAGAAAATTAAACTGTATGTAAATATCATCACTTGATTCATGCCAGAATACCAAATTTTTTACAGGAACGTTTTTCTTTCTATATAGATTTTTTTTATAATGCTTAATTTGAATACTGCCATCTGTCATCCTGTTTTCACAACAAACTTTCATTTCAAAGCATCAGTTGTGTTTTGCCAAAGGTGCATGTGGTCAGTGGTTGACTAATTGGTTTTTGCTATCAGTCTTTGACATAAAGCCAACATAATTTAAGTATGCATGCCTGTACGTTTCTAAACTTGTTTCTTCTCGTTCATAGCATTCATCTAATATATACCAAGAAGGAGTTCCAAATTCTATAAACTTACTTGCATTAGCACCCCCTCAACTCTAATCAATTGGTTATAATCACCACCATTTGCTTCCACATCTATGACTGAAAAAAAATTACATGTACATTTGTTTCATCACAACTAAATACCGCAAGAACTTATTGTACAACATGTACATTGTATGTCTTATTGCATCAAATGCATTTTTAAATCATTGCAATCACTTGTTTAATATCTGATACTGACAAAGTCAATGAAAGTTGTTGAGAGGAAAAATGTTCCCATAATTCTGGCAAAAATATCAATAACAATGAGCTAATGTAGTATTTTTCTTTTTTTGCTTCATAATTACAGAACAACATTAATTTAAAGCTTGCCTTTCCAGCTACACAATATATCTGATTAATACAAATACTACTCACCCATGCGTTTGTGTTCTAGATCTTTCTATATCGATTAATACAAATACTACTCACCCATGCGTTCATGTTCTAGATCTTTCATTTTCTCATCTTCCAAACCATGGACTACATCAGCAACATGTTTCACACCTCCCTGCTCATAAAAATTACACACAGATGCATCTGTATAATACTCAACTACTTTTGAATTTCAAATCCTCTTAAAGGTCATAGGAAACGATTCTTAACATTAGGATTTCACTTTTAAAACTTAAAGCTATATATGAAAGAATGTTAAATTACGAGTAGTAATATTTTTTGGCCTTTGTTCTACTGAAAAATAAAGGTGAAAACTTTTCCACTTGTTACTTTTCTTACCCGCTTATCGTTCTTGATTTTGTGGTTTTATGACGTCACAAGAGCCCACTGATGTAAACAGAGCATTAGACTTATGTATTTCTACCATATTTTTATCTAGTTAATTTAAACTATTTTTGTAAATATAAATGTGTCTATGTTTTCAGGTGAGTTATCTGATTTCGTAGTTCAGTCAATTCAGTTTGAACGAGTCGTTAATATGGCACGGCAACTCAAAATGGGGGTTTTTATCGGAGGATGATCCTGATGGATATCCTATATAAAATTACACTTAAATTAAGCTACAACTTCGATTACTTACTCTGCATCAAACCTTTAGAAACAAAAAATATTTCCCTGTTTAATACACATAAAAGACATTCCAAAAGGATTCCATCATCATTAAAAAAAGTTAATAAGTCGTTTTTTATTCCAAGAAAAATTGCATAATGCAACATAAAATAGAATAATTTATTAAAAGTGACCTTTTCTGATATGAATAAAAATTTTGATTAAGCTTATAATATTCTGTTAAAGAAAGAATATGACACTTATATGGGGAATACCCCTAATGTGAATCCCCAAAATAAACACGGGGCCGGTGGTATTGAAGTCCACGATAAGCGTGAACCACTGAAATTGTCAGCATCTTTGAAGTTTCGTTTTCCCCGATCCGAAACACACATATTTCTGTAAAAACGATATAGCAATAGAATCCCTGAGTTTATGACATGACCGTATTTTTCTATAAATATATATATATATATATATATATATATATATATAAAGAAGAAATGTTGAGCCCAGAGCAAATGAGATTGTTACGATGCCGATACTTTGTGCAGACACGGTTTGACTCTACAATATCGAATTTTGAAATAATTGGTATGTACGAGGGCTGTTCGGAAATTATTGAGACAATGTGCATATTCTTTTTTCTAGTGAATGTCTTTCGGTGAAGATTTGCATATACGTTTGACAAATAATAAAAATTAATAAAAGCAAAAAATATTTTACAAATATTTTATTTCTTCTTCTCAGTGGTATATTTATGTGTCAGTGGTAGGGGTACCCAGCGCAGTCACGAAATCAGATGTTGAAAATATGTTACACCAACGTTCAAACTCCCGGTGGAGTCATAATAAGAGCGAAAATAATTCAATTTATGTATATAATTTTTCAATTTAATTTTGACTTCATTTTGTGCAAGTTTGTTAGAATTTCGATCAGAAATAGGGAGATCATAAATAAATTTAAGCGCAGCATAGAAATCTGAGAACGAAGACAAAATGGAATTTGACGTCAAGGCGGCGCAGCGAGCATACCTTTAATTTTGTGTAGCGCTATGGAGAACTCTTTTCCAGACTAAACGACCTGCTAAAACAATAACAATGCAAAAAAAATGTGTCTAAGGGTTTTATTTTTTCATTGGTATATATTTTATTCTTACAAAATATTCAACAAGAGTAAACACAAGAGCTCTAGACGACCATCAATTATTACGGAGTAAATAACGTTGACTCGCTGTGCAAAAATCGGTACTGCGTGATGCTTATTCAACCTGTATATGACACTTCGTGTATTTTTTACACTGAGGTAGCAACAACACACATTTTTTTAATTTCATTCTTTAAAGAATTGTTTAAGAAAAGAGACAGTTTGATTTTTGGAATGTTATATGTGATAACAGAGAAAGAAAAGTAAACGCTTCCCAAACGTTTCACTTGCAAAAACATCTCTGGCTGACGTGACGTTAAAATGACGTAGGGATGCTGCTCCAGGTCTATAGACATATGCATGTTTATAATTTCACCAAACTTGTCTAATTGTCCTATAAATTAGAAATTTTGCACCTTTCTTTTATTCGTTATTTATAAAATGTTGACGAAGTTTCATGAATGTATCTCTGGCCTTTATGGAGTAAAAGTAAATGTCTCAATAATTTCCGAACAGCCCTCGTAGTAGTAAACAGTACAGTCCGTGATCAGTTTGCAAATCCATCCCTCATTTGCGAGACTACAATTTTAATATTAATGTTCTTTTTAACAGATGATAAAACTTTTGAAATTATATCCTTTACAGAAAAAATAACATAATACACACTGGAAAAATAAACAGGTTTGTATACGATGATAAGTACTGATCTTTGATAAATATTTTAACAAACTGACTGGAAAGATACTTACCTTTTTCGTATTTTATGTATTAAATTTTACTAAATTAAACAAGAGGCCCATGGGCCACATCGCTCACCTGAGCACATTGGCTAGGAAAAAGCACAAATCACTTCATTATTG